AATGACTGCATGCGAAGAAGCCACCTTTTCTGACTGTGGCCCTGGGACAAAGATGGGACAAGGAGAGGCCGCTCCTGCTCACTCTTCGGGGCGGCTGGGGGCACCCGCTTGTCCCCCAAGGGCCATGGTGAGGCCAGTTGTCAAGTGGTGCTGCACCGGGGGCAGCGTGAGCCCCGGAAGGAGGGGGGCTCCTGCCTGCAGAAGCACCCCTGGAAGCAAGCCCTGCTGCTGGCCAGGCCCGCTGCACAAAGCCAGGAACCTGCCCGGACAGCTGTGTGGGTACACAGCATCCCACCCCACAGTGGCCCCTCTAGAGGGAGACGGTGACTTTCGCTGCTGTGGCTTATGGGAAGCCATGGCTTCGCACAAGAGTGATGTGTGGTACATGAGAACTCTGCTATCCTTAGGGTCTTTCTGTAAATCTAAAACTGTCCTAAAAATTGAAGTTCCTTTCCAAAAATGCTCAGAAGTTTAAAAAAATAGATTTCCCCAACCATCTACTGATTAAAAATTTAACATTTCTAAATATTTACCCATAATTAAAACCACAAGCCCAATACCATACTTTCTCTTTAATGCTCACAAATTAAAGGGTAGACAAGCCACACAAAACACAAGGACGATAAAGAAGTGCTGGATGAACTAACTCCCACGGAGCTGGTGAAAGCGGCTAGGACGCCCAGCTCTTGAGGACGAGCCATGCAGACCCACTCTCCCCTCCCAAACGACCAAGGTGCGGGCAGCACAGCAAGGGCCTGCAGAAGGCACCCAGCAGGGGACACGGCAGCAAGCACTGGTGCGCCAAGGCCAGCGGCTGCTGCCACGGCCTCTCTTGCGCCCTCTCAGCAGCAGTGGCGGACAGCAAGACACTGAGCCGAGCCTCGAGCAGTGGAGAACTGTGGGGACAGGGTTCAAAGCCAAAAAGGGAGAGACCTAGTAAAGACGGTCTCTTGGGAAGGGCAAGCTGGAAATCATCAGACCTCACAACACTGAGGCTCAACCCGCCGCCCAGTCTCTGAATGGATTCAGGTGATCTGTCTGCCCTGCAGCACCTGCCCAGGATGATACAACACATCCTCCTCAGGAGTAAGGAACACTCGCCAAAGCCTCAAGTTACCTTTACACTCTTAAAAATAATGGCTATCACACGAGAAGAGCCACAACAAAAGAACAAAAACTAACCATGAAGCATACCATGACGGAACGACCAGAACCAAAAGGGGTCGGCCAACCGGACAATGAAGACAACCGCGGAAAGCACAGAGACCTCAGCACAGGACAAGCCTGGTGAGAAGGCCCAGCGCACGACTGGCTGCAGCCTGGGCAGGAGAGCAGAGAGAAGGGCAGAGACACCACTTTGAAGATCGCTCCAGAGGCGGAGCAAGCCTGGGCAGGCTGTGCACTTGCACACTCGGGTGCACACACACTAGAGTAGTGGGGTGAACCCATGGCACGCATGAGATTGTGTTCTTCTTATAGAAGGATGTTAATGTAGAGTTGTTTTTTCTCGACTAAAACCTCAGTACTAGGATTTAATTGCAGCGTTGGGACTTTGCAATAAATAAGCGGGTTCTGGGCTGCAGTTTGGGCGCTCAGTCTCTACAAGGTTTGCCATCACTGCACTAGATTATGCTCAAATCCAAGTCAGAAAATCTCTTTAAAAAGAAAATGAACCTGCCAGAGAAATAAGACATATTATCTTCCGAAGAGGACGGCAACCTATTCATCAGAAACACGAAAGCCAGAAGCACAAAATACTGAAGTTCAAGAATGCTGCAAGAAAAAATGGGTAATTTAGAATTCCATACCCAGTGCAAGTATTCTCTAAGAATTTGGTCCAGAGCTGCTGTGCAGGGCTCATGTCTCCTTGGGGACAGAGGGTGGCCTCCCTGAGGCAGGCCAATGGTGGCAGCAAACAGGAGGCTGGCCACACATACTGAGGGAGGAGCCAGGTCACCCACGCTCCACGATGGGCATGGAACAGATCCTAGCACGAAGCCTGCAGTGTGACACAGGAACTGGAGACAGCTGGGTGAACTTGTGGATTTCACCACAGACAGAGAGGACAGAAATCAATACAGATGTACATGGATACACAGAACTGGAAATCCATATGACACAAACACATAAATGAATAAATAAAGGGAGGGGAAGGGAAAATACTAGTGTAGGGTACAAACTAATGATGTGTAAGGGATGGCAGAATTATAATTTGGCAAATGTCGTAGTAAAAACTGATGTAGTTATGAAAATCAACGAGCGCGAAAACCGGTGAGTGCAAATGTGATGAGGGTACTTTGATGTGGTCTCAAGGTACTTCCCCAAATGTTCAGGACTTAGGAAAAGTGAGGAAGTACCTTTGTTACAAAGATACCATCTTAATCAAGCAATCAAAAGTAACAAAAGCAATGCTGGGACAAATGGGAGTCATACAGTGGCTGGTAAGATGCAGAGGGCCACACACACCCCCTATAAGAAACACCAACACACCCAGACTGAGAGACATGCAGCAGAATCACCGTCCCGACATCTTCAGAGGTGCCAAGGTCTCGGGAGTCACACCAGCCCCAAGGACTAATCTGGATGCCAAGACGAAAGGGACAGCGTGCTGACCGCAGCCGTTGCTCTGTGCTCTAAGCACAGCACTGGCAGCACAAGCTGGTCCTTGGCATGGGGCCTGGGGGCCGGGTGGCAGCAATGTGTGCAAAGGCCCACTTGCTGACTGTGACAGCTGCACAGTGGGTGTTCAGGAAATGTCCTTGTTTGTAAGAATGAGAGCAGAGGGTCTCCCGCTGGAGTGGACCTCACCGACTGGCAGACCCACCCAAACGTGCTCCCCGGCCCCAGCCCAGCACGTGTGACCCCGCAGGCCTGTACCAGGTCCTGAGAATGCCTTGCGGTGCCACACGAGGACCACACGCGGAGACCTGCTCCAGTAGTTTGAAGACAGGTGGGTATCACGGGGCTAACTTCCTGTTGATAGGTTCAGAAATTATTTTCCTGTTTCTGTTATTTTAAAAGTCTGAAATATTCCAAAATAAAAAGCAGACAAAAATAAAGAAAGGCCACTTAACGTAAGTGTGAGAATTTGTTGTCCACAAAGAATTCTTCCAGCAGAAGACCAAGGACCCAAACGGAAACCACAGGAAAGTGTGGGCCAAGTCAGGGTGCACACGGGGGGGGGGGGGGGGGGCCCCGGCCACACCCACCGCAATGCACAGCATGCCCACGTCTCGAGGGGCTTCCAATGCACAGGATCCAGGCACATGACAGAACAGCACAAAGGACAGGAGCCAGGCGACAGAGTTAACAGTATTCTGCAATCTTCACACCGTTCTGGAGCTGGAAAAGTACTAATTTAGGCTTCAATAAATTACAGATGAACATTTTAATTACCAGGGTTAGGACTAGCAAACAAATGGGAGGGGGTGCAAATGAAATTGAAAAAAAATCCAAACAAAAGCAAACAAGAAAGAAAAATAATACACAGAACAGCCAGGAACAGCTTATTACCATAAGCTATTTCAATACAAATCTGTCAAGGATTACAATAAATGCAAATATATAAATATTCCAGATATCCAGACTGGCAAAACTTCTTTAAAAATACTTCCAGTTTATAAGGTATTCACATTAAATACAACTATAGCTGGGCGTGGCAGCATATGCCTGCAATCCCAGCACTTGGGAGGCTGAGGCAGGAGGATCACCTTGTGTTCAAGGCCACCTTGGGCTCCACAATGAGTTCAAGGCCAACCTGACCCACACAAACAAACAAACAAACAGACAAGGATAGAGATAGGCCGAAGTTAAAAGATGTAGAAAAAGCTACTCTGCAAATACTAAGCAAAGCAAGTTTTATATACTACACAAATACTGAATAAAATAGCAAGGTGAAAACCACTGCTAAATACAAGGCAGAAAATGCCATATGAACGAAAGGATAAGTGCCTAACAGCCTCAAAATGTAGTAAGCAAAGCAAGACTAACAGGGTTTCAGGTGGCAGAGGGCCTGGGTGTGGCTGCCTCTGCACGCCGGAAGGCGGAAGGCGAGGGGAAGCTGCCCTACAGGCTGAGTGCAGTGGTGGCAGCTGCAGGAAGGCCCAGGTGAGGAGCCAGCTCAGCTGAGAAAGCTGCAGACCTGCACAGCCTGGCTGGTGGGAGGAGCATCGAGCAGCTGAGGCGCAGGACAGCAACGTGCCAGTGCCAAAGGTGCCTGGCAAGGTGTGTATAGCTCCGCCCCTCCCTAAGTCTGCACAGAAAAACCACCCGGACCTCGAGTAAAGCAGGAGAAAACAAGATGTCTGGTGGGTGCCGCAGGCACCTGCAGGGTCCTCTCGGAACTGGGCTGCAGAAAGGTCTCTCTAGGTCACCCGCCCATCTATCCACGCCTTCGCTGCACAGCACGTAGTGTGGACCGCAGCGTGATCATCCACATTTGCCAGCAGCAAACAGCCACGGCAGGCTGGAAATGACCCGCTCTAGTCCACTGCCTCAGGGGTACTTGGCGCAGGCCATGGCTCCCCTGCCTGAGCAAGCCTGGCTGGAAACCTCTCCACCCAGAGGAGAACCAAGGATTCAGCAAGCAGGTGTGGGAATCAGAAGAGGACGAGGAGGCGCCTCTTCCCACTGTCTGCCCTAGCTGTGCCCGTCCCCCTCCCCGCTCCCAGAGTCGGGGGACTGCAGAAATGCAAGCCTCAAAGCGGGACGGGGGGCTGAGCAAGAGTAAGGGGGCACAGCGTAGAGCACGGCAGTAAAGAAAAGGACACTGGGGGCCAGGGATTTAGCTCAGTGGTTCCGGTGCCTGCCGCGCAAGTGCAAGGGCCCAGCTAAGAAGAGAGGCATGAGCATATGGAGAAATGGCAGCAGAGAGTGCCACCTCGACAGGCAGGCCTCGTTTTAGGGTCCACCTGCTTCTGTGCAGAGAGCCAGGGGCGGCGGTGTGCTCTCCCTCGGGGCAGTGACCTGTCCCTCCCCAGGGCTCTCCACTCAGGCCTCACCTCTCTGAATTTGCGGTAGACCCGGTCACTCTGGTGAGCTCCGACTGTGATTTCTGGGAGATAGACAGGGATGCTTGTGAAATTCAGCACTTGCCTCTTGTCCTGAATCCTGAAAGACAAGACACACACGGGTCTCACCAAACCGTGAAAAGTGCTAAGTCTGATGTTTTAAAAATTCCCACACTAAGACAACCGCGACTAAGTCCCAAGCTTCCCTCTTGGACGCACAAGCTCTGTGCCAAAGACCTGGGCCTGTGTGAGATGCTCGCCACTTGGGAACTGAGGTGAGTCTGGCCCAAGCCCAGGGCCTCTGGTGACACGAAGGAGCCAAAGTGTGCCCTACACACAGGGACAGAGGAAGAAAGGCTATCTACGATCAGCGACGTCACAGTGCTATACACACAGGGAGCGTGCACTGAGAATGTGCAGTTCATGCCTGTCCGGGGAAAGACCCAGGAGCAGCCGCCGCCCCCAGCGCACCTGCCACTGCACACGCAGAGTTGTATGGCGTGAAGTAACCGGGCCCGGTGGAACCCGGGACCACAGGACCCAAGGCCTGGCCTGAGCTTCATTTTCTTGGCACTAATAAATACAAGTCAGGGACATTCTCCTTGCTTTACTACTTCATTTTGATGAGTGCTAAAATATTTATATTTGCCATAATTTGCTTATTTTAAATTTAATCTGAATATAACCTTTACACTTGAAGATGAAAAACATTTTTAAGCTTTTAGAAAGAAGCATTAAAAAAAATTTCCTTTTTTATGGGCTCAAAACAAACAAAATAACTACTTCTATGGCCACTTTCCCACCCATGAGTTAGAAAGGCAGTAGGTGTTTCCCATTTGTGAAGGCTCCAGCGGAGGTTGTGATGTGCCTGGCTCTCCACCGGGCCTTGTGAGAAAGAGCGGAGGCCCGCCTGAGCCCAAGACTGGTCTCCAGGGCCAGAGACAGCTGCCCATGAGGCCTGGGTCATGCTTCCAGAGAGCCACAGAGAATGGAGGCTGGGGCAGGCTGAGCACTCCCAAGTGCCCCCACGCCATCAGGGCTACACTCCCGAGGGCCATCCCCCAGAGCAGGCGCCTGGGTCGCCATGCCTTCGTGTGTTCCTAGTGTAAATGTGGGGTCTCGCCTGCTCAAGCAAACAGCTGTAACAAATACCAAGACAAGACCGCTTTCTTAGTTTTGGTGTCAAGTTAGTTTTACCTGCCAAAAGATACTCAAATACTTCCAAAAACTCAAACAAGCAAATGGTAAAGTGTGTAACGGCCATACGGTGACTGCACTTTGCTAGACTGCTCTTTCTGGTTGTTACCAATGTAGTGCGGGCATCTGATAAAAGTCCGCACAGTACCAAAGAGAGGTCTCTGGCACTGCCCTCCCAGCTCGATGTTTCCAGAGGGAAGTGCTGGCGGCTCTCCTACTTGCTGTTTGCAGTATATTCCAGACACGTTTCAGTGATGTGTATGCAGTTACTTCATTGTTAACACAAACAATTATTCTATACTGTTATTACACAGTTTTTGAAGTGATCTCACAAAAAGGTCAACTAAAAATGAGGTTCATGCCTTAAACATTCATAAGTGTCAAGGTGGCTAGGGGATGTCTTAGTTTTCTCTAGAGTTGAAAATCCTAAGAAAATGCTAGAAAATGAAAGAACTTGATGGCTTGTATGAGGAACACGCAGAGTAACAGTGCCATCTACGGTGAGTACGGCAGAATTACAATTGACAACCCCAGAATCTCTTTGAACACAGGCTTCAGTGTTTTGAAGGTTTAAAAAGGAAAAGCTACTGCCATGACTGCACAGCACCTTCAAGCTGTCTCAGTGTATCAGCAGGTGCCAGGTGAGAAGAACAGCCTAGGGCACGGTTTTAGGAAACCCACAGGTCTGGCCTGATGTATTCTGGACTGGAGATAAACAAGGAACAAAGACACCAGGAAGCTCTTTATGACTCAGGAAGCAAAAAGCAGTGAAAAAAAACATTCTGTTCACAGAGCACTTAATTAGGAGGGATTCAAACACAGACTGAGAATGATGTCACCGTGAGCCACATGTGCAGCCCAGAAGGTAAGAGGCACCGAAGCCTGGTGTACAGTGTGAGGTGGAGCCATGCATTTTAAAACAACAGAGTGAGGCAGGGGGACATGAGGACATAAAACGGCAAATGAGGTTTATGACTCCACTGTTGCCCGGGCAAAGAAAGTCTAACTTCCCCACAGCCTGCTGTCCACTTCCTCCTGAACTGTGAGTTCTGAGTTCAGTCAGAGACACCGTGGACCCAGGCTTGCAGGCGTGCAGCACCGGAAGCCCCGACCGTGGAGCTGCTGCAGGGGTCTGGAGACCTCTGTGGGAAGGGAACGCAGACGGTGGGTGCCAGGGACCTCGAGGCGGCTCTGGTGAGGCCTTGCACATCTGGGCACCGAGCTGGCAATCGGTGACCCTCAGGTCTGAACCCCGTCCCCCGGAGGCGCCCGTCAGCCATGGGCCATGAATATGAGCACAAAATGCTGCCAGGACTGAGAACACAATCAGTGCCACTTAGTGTAAGCGTGCACACACACATAATTACACACTGACACACGTAACTAAGATGGTATAAAAATGTTCTAACCAGTAATTTGCTCAGGTTCTGCACAAAATGAGCATAACTGGTAAATGCCATGTTTACAATAATTATCTCAGAAAATTGGTTATAATTTTCACTTAAGAAATGGTAGTCAAATGAAAATAATCAAAATTACCATTGTAAAAAGTTATGAAACACGGGGGTGGGGGCAATAAAAAATGAGGAAAAGAAATGGAAAACCCCATAGCAAACTAATTAATTGAATGCTATACTTTATAAACTCTGGGAGAATTACAGGATCCTTCTCTATGCTACCATATAACTAAGTAATTACTAAAATTATGATTTTAAGACACGAATCTTGAACACGGTGCATAATCAAATCAGCACACATTCAGGTTGTACTTCGAAAATGATATGGTATTATCCCAGGAGGTCAAAAAGACATTCTCTAGTCTCAGTCAGTGTGTTAGGATTTCAGGACAGTCACCTCTCCTATGCGACAGTCACACTCGGCCCAGCAGCAGTCAACACTAACAGACAAGGGTCACACACACTCACTTGAACAGTACTGTAGAAGAGTTAAGAGGAAGCTACAGGGAGAGAGGGCGGAAAGGGGCTAAACTGGGCTTTGGAGAGCAGTAGGGTCTGCAGACCTCCAGCAGAGGGGCCAGGGCATCTCAGGTAGAAGTGCAGAACCAGGGCAGATGCCCCAGGTCTGAGTCAATGGAAAGGCACTGAATCTGGACTAGGCCCAGATGAGCCACCGACCCACTCTGCCGGAAGGAAAGAGGTCACTGTGACGTTAGTGACAAGTAACCCAAGGGGCATACATGAGATGGACAGGGCCAAGCCGGAAGCGACCGGAGACAGAGATCAGGAGGCACCGACCACCCAGTGGGGGAAGTAATAAAGGGAACACAGTGACCTGCAGGGTGTGACTCGGGGAGAGGAGGCTTCAGGCTGTGGTACAGCGGATCAAGGAGTCTGGGTCCCCAGGATTCAAGTCTGAACAGATGCACGGGACTCATGGCGCCAGGGCCTCCAGAGCACCAGCCTGTGGTCAAACGGGAGCTCCCCGAGCTGCAGTCTCCTCACCTGTAAGTGGAGGAAATGCTCCTGCACATCCTCCAGACACAACCACGTGGTGTGGTGGTGACTGCACAATCTCAGCTGAGCAGGCAGGATACCAACAGCAGTTACAAGAAAGGCAGGGCACTTAGCGAGGTTCAGAATGGCAGAGCACAGTGAGTCACTCCAGTAAATTCACCAACAGACACAAATATGAGTATAGACCAGAGTGGCAAACCTACAGCACACGTGCTGCAGCAGGCTGCTTGTATCATTGAAAGCTCTAGAAGGTTCGCCATCACTGGTCTAGACAAACAACAAGAGGAGACCGACAGTTTCAGCTTCAACAAAAAGTTTGGAAGCTGTCATTTCTGTTCTCACAACTAGAAAAAGCTGAAAATCAATTACAGGCATCCTTTAGTATCCTCAGGGGACTGGTTCCAGGAGCCCATGGGGACCAAAATGTGAGGATGCTTAAGTACCCTTACTAAACAAGGCATGGTATTCCCATGTAACCTACGGCATCCTCCGGTACCTCTGCAAGAATCCCTAGATTACCCACGATGCCTGACACAACGTAAACACCGTGTACACAACGGTCACACAATATGGTCTAGTGAATGACAACAAGAAAAAGCCTTCACATGTTCTGGGCCATCACAATTGTGGAATATTTCTATCCAAAGGTGGTTGGGTCTGGGTATATCGAACCCAGAGGCTGTGGAGAGCCACTGTCCTTCTCTTCGAGACAGGAACACCGTGCTGAGTGATCACAGCTCCCTAGGCGAGCTGCAAGTGGTGCTGCCAACGGCACAGCACTGCAGGCACTCTCCAAGGAACCCGTATGCTGAGAGGACATCAGAGGGACTCCTTCAAATGCTCAGTCGCGTCGAGAGAAGGTAACTGAGTGTGCTGATGCACACCGGAAATCCCAGCACTCTGGAGAGCTATGGTCATGAGTCTGAGCCCAGCCTGGGCAGCTCAGTAAGTAAGTCAGTGGGAACCTGTCTCAAAACAAATAACAAGAAAGGGCTGGGAACGCAGTTACGTTCAATCCCCAGCACCACTAAACAAAACAAAACAAAACCAGAAATAAATATGGCAAAAATGAATTCATAGACATCAAACTCACTTCAAATGTGAGGTCCAAATACACCCACTAGTAGACTGTCAGAGTTTATTTAAAAAACAAAACAAAACAAACAAAAAAACAAGACCCAACTACTTACTGTCTATAAGAAAATAAAGACTCAAAAATGTTAAAGAGATGGAAAAAGATCACCACACCCACATTAATCAAAAGCAGGAGCAGCTTTAATGATTTCAGACAGAGCAGACCTCAGAATAAAGAAAAGCATCAGGGATACAGAAGGGCATTACAAACTAAGAAGACATGCCCTCGAACACACCTACACCTGACACTGACGTACACGGGGTAAGGACTAATAGAACTCAAAGGAGAAACAGGCAAAGCTGGTACTGATGAGGTGGACCTCACAGCCTATTAGAAACCGACAGCCCTAGCAGTAGGGACCAACAAGGACACAGATGAGCTGGCCACCTCCCTGCGAGCCTCTCCATGTGCTGCTGCCCTGACCCTGCTCAGTCATGCAAGGCCCAGCCCGGCTTCACCTGGGCAGCTCATGGGGAGGTCTCTGGTGGCTTCAGTGCCCTTGGTCACTTGGACCCCGACCATGCACAGTCTTGTGACTCGGGGCTACTGCTCTTCACAGCCCTTATGACCACAGAGTTCTGTGTGTGTACTCCTCTCCACTAGAATACATCCTTTATTAAAACTGAATTTTATCTGATGCTACAACCTTTAAAGCTACAAGAGTGCCTAACACATACTGGACGCAAAATATTTGTTGAATGCTGGCCATCAATTAAGTAATGATCTGATTGGAGAATTCAAGAGCTGTTTGGAAGGGACAAGGAAAAACACCTCAGGACTGGTGGGTGCTAGTAACACCCAACTTGAGCCACAGTCATTTCAGAACCCTGTAGGTCTCTGCAACACACAAGCAGACCCAACACACTGCAGTCAGAAAGTGCCCGTGCCCTCCTCGGAGCCCAGCGCCAGGGAACTCACAGCATCTGCAGGTTATGAAGGGTGCGGTCATCCTGCTTCGGCCAAGGTCCTTTGTCCATCTTGAGGTATTCAATGTCCTCCACCACCTAAGGAAGAAAGGTTCAATTTAAACAACAGCCCCACTCTAGAGATTTAAACGAGGCCACACCATAGGTCATAAGCATCAGGCACACACTAAAGTCAAAGAGAATGCTACAGTCGCAACCCTGAAGAAATGGCAGGATGGAGGGCTGACAACGCTCCAGGACCGTGGAGTGGTGCAGAGATCACCTTTTGACCTGGAGAAGGAGGACAGAGTGGAAAAGGAATCCAAGAAGGTTGTGTTCAGGATGGGCTACTTGCCTCTTCCCAGGCAAGCTCGTGCTAGGAGGCAAGGCTGAGCCTCACAAAATGCAGCACTGGAACATCAGCACTTTCCAGAGACTCGACAGTCTCAGGCTCCAGGCTGACCTTCCAGAGAGGCAAACTTTACCTTCTTTCCCGAGACACCCAACACTGACCTCTCTCTAGTTTCAAGAACGTGAGCACATTCAATAACGAACTTGAGTATCAAGTCTTAGATACAAAATGCATTATTCCTCTAAGATACATCCTTCTAAACATTCTGTCAAGAGGTACAGAAATAATCCAAAAACAAACATCAGCATCACAGAAACAGCGTGGCAAAGGAGTAAAATGTAATTCACTCAGTCCAAGGAGAACAAGCCAAGGTCTCAAATGAATTCCCACAGTGAGAAGCAGCAGATGGTTTGGAGCAGGCTCCATGGAAAGGAGAAGCCTGCCCCCTGCTGGAAGTGCTCAGCCTGCACTGGCTCCAGGCCTCCCTGCAGAGAGGCGGCGAGGGGCCTGCTGGGCCAGGGCCACTCTGCACACTGGTGGCTCCAAGGCAGAGGAGCCTGCACCCCGCACAGTCCTCCAGAATTCCTATGCCTCTTAGTGTTTCGAATGTTCTTTACTAATTTATGCTTATGTATAATACAGACCTGCTTTTATCAAATGGATGTGCAGTTGCCACCGTACCCTCTAAGAAACAATCCATCCCCTACTTCATTTTTGACTTTGCCAAACCTAAGTAAGACACACACAGCCCTGCTTCTGAACTGTCCTGTTCCACAAGGACATTTATTAATTCCTGCACTGATACCACAGGGCCTTTATGGCTGTATTTTATAATACGCTTTTGTATTTGGGAGGGCAAAGGTCCTGAATTATTTATTCTTTCTCAGAAATTTTGGCTATTATTCATTAAAAGTTTCCTGAAAATTCCCCTGAGACTGACTAGAATTTCACAAAATGCAGACTTGAGAAAAGCTATTATCTTTAAATAAGTAAATCCTTCCCATTAATTAATCCAGGTTTCAACTTTATCACACATTTAATACAAAGGTTGAAGCAGATGATCTAAGGCTCTTTGTATCATTACCATCTATAATTTAAGATCACGGCAACTTAAGTCATTTAAAAAGAATCATAACCAAAAAAAGCAGCTAAACATAGGAAGCCAGTGTAAAAAGCATTAAAGCTAGGTGATGGTAATGAGCTGAGTAGATACTGCTTTTGGACTATGAAATAATGTCCCTAAAACCAGTACAAATGGAACTGATCATCAGATTTCCAAGAACATTATATATGAATCAAACTGAAGAACATTTATCGCCTTGTCATCCCTTTTCTTACCTTTTCTGTATCTTGGATTTCCCTTGCACTGTACACCAAAACCTCACTTTTCTCACTGTAAGAAAAAGCAAAGCAAAGTTCAACGTAAACCTTTCTAGGCTGAAGTTCTTGTCAGATAAACACAGGCCACTCCAGCCCCCCTGACCACTCCAAGGACACCATCTTTGGGTGGAGCACAATGCTCCTGAGGAGATGGACTACAGTAGTGGCGGTGTGCTCAGGCAGGCAGGGAGGACCACAGGTCTGTTTCCTAGCTCCCCTTCCCTGACTACACCGCCCTGACCCATACTGTCACAGGTGTGAAAGAACACAGCTGCCACTGACAGGGGACTAGGTACATGGCCACCTAACTGCCACACCTGTGTTCCACAACTGCAACTCCCATCACGGGACAGGGCACCTGCATCTCCTGGGACAGGGCACAGAGGATGGCAGGCAGGACACACAGTGATGGAGCTGCCAAAATCCAGCATTCAGGGACAGAGATAACCCATTTCAACTGAACTGTGCAAAAGAGGAGTGGCCACTCAGTTCTCTCACTCCTCAGTCCTCAGTCTGGACACTAGAAAATCACAACTGGACCCCTCTCCCCATCCCCGCGTTTTGTCCTTCTTCTCAAAGGTTTAGAGTGACCACGATGGACAGGGTGGGGCAGCTGGGAGATGACTGACCCACAGGCAGTATGTCTGGACCTCCCACACGAAGGAGCTGCCTCTGCCACACCTCCCGGCCATCAGGTGAGCCAGCCCAGGGGGCCTGTTGGGGTGCCCGTCATGCTGAGATGCAGGCCCTCAGTCAGTAAGCCCAGAAGACTTAGATTTGTTGGAAAACACCTTCCACCTTCTAGAGCCAGATAATGGAGAAATTCCAATGAAGTCCTGGGTTCAATTCCCAGCAATATATATAAAAAAATCAATTACATCTACTTGTTATAGGTTTCTTGAAACTTGATAAGACAAAGTCAAATCTTGTAGTGCATTTCGGAGAAGGCCTTGAGATCCCAGCCCACAAGGCTGTAGCATGACCGCAGGCTGAGACCCCACACACGGCCATGCCTATCACAGGGCAGCCTGGGACTCCACACCTAGCATGTACACATCGCACTGTGGGCTTTTGGCAACTGTTCATCTCAATGAGACAAATGTCCCACAAGCTCAGTGGCTGCCGTTAATCTATTCGGCTTGAGATGCCAGGCAGAATTCACTTCACCAATGGACAGAATCTATCTGCTCAAATGCAGCAAAGGTCAAGGGCTGTAATAACAAAACAAGTATATACTGTGACATTCATTTGGGAAACTAACAAATTAGAACCCAGGCATGAACATTCATGTATCTGCCTGTGTGCCAAGCACTGCCTACTTCTACTACTCTCACCGCGCGCTCCTGCAGAAGACAGTGACAGTGAGCGTGGTGCCCAGTATGTGTGCACCAGGGCTCTGCCATGCAACCAGAAACAGTGCAAGCGTTTCCTTCTTTAAGATGAATGGATGCATACTCTTAAGCTCTCATTTTTGTTATTAATACCGCTTTTGGTGCTGGGAATTGAACCCAAGACTCATGGACGCTATACAAGTTTTATACCAGTAGAGCACACCCAGCCCTAAACTTTTAGTTTATAGCAACTGTAATGTTCTACAAACAAGTATAAAGAAAAACCCCTTTTAAAATTTCATTTTGGTTTGCCCAGTACACTGGAAAAGAGGATTTGCAGAGGAAAAGTGCTGCGCGTGGGCCTGAGAAGGTGTTAATGGTGCCAGAAACCCGCAAGAGAATGAAGACAAATGCCAAATGAACGACCTTTCCGTGTCAGAGTGGGCCCACACTCCTGGTGCATTTTCCATTTGCAGTGGCTGAAACTGAGAATAAAGAAACCAACCCATCAACCTGGAAACTTGACAGGATTTATACTACGAAAACAAAAACAAAAGGCCCATTTCCCCGATGCTTTGTAAGTCTATCGATTCAGGGAAAAGATACACAAGCTCGGAAATCAGGATACTTACTCCACAAGTGTGGATTCTCTGCTCTTTACAAATAAACTATGGCACTGCACAACCAGGAGCCAGCAGTGACCATGAGCAGCCCCCATGAACAAGGTCCCCTTGGGACACTGCCAGCCAGCCATCCTTTGCAGGGACCCTGGTGCCAAGTCTGTGGAGCCACAGGAGACTTCCTCTGTGACTTCTGATGACATGTGGGCAACGATGCTGAGACTCGTCCTTTTCAAACCTCAGCTGCACACCAAGGCTGGCCCATTGGTGACAACATGCTGACACTCATCAAGGACAGCACACGAAACCAGGCCAGTGTGCTGGGGTGTGTGGCAGCTGGACTCAGCATGGCTGGTGTCACAAAGATCTAGTGAAACCGTCCTCAGGAACCACTTAGCCTGGCAGGACCCAGCAGAGGCTTCCAAACGCCACCTGGCCGTCAGTACAGCCTGAACCCAACTGTCGCAGTCAGTGAGGAGAGAGTTCTGCACTATCATCTGAACATGCGTGGTGAGGCGGAAGCTGCCAGTTTGGGCACTGTGGGAGGTGACACCTCCCTGGATCTCGGAGCCACCTTCAGCTCAGTGATACCGAACCTGAGACCTCAGGAGCTAAATACGAACTCGGCCAAGTGCATACGGCCCAAGGAAGTGGGGGACGCTAGAGCTGCCTCTCGGTGTGCCTCGCATCAGGGAGCTTGCAGGGCAAGGTCCAGAAAGTAACCACATGGTACCGGCACTCAGTCTCAGCCCGTGTGCAGGCTAAACCCAGACAGCCCATTCCCAACGGAGCATTTAGAAGGAAGCTCCTGCTCAGGGATGTCTTTATAGCCAGGAGATCTGCAAGAGGGATTTTTGGAACAGAACTTCTACAATCAACTATCTCTGCTTACGCAATTTATTCCATAGCTCCGTGTATTCACCTGGGCACAGATCTGCAAAATTGCTTTTCTCTGCACTCCTAGTCTTAAAAACAGAACAGTAGGATGGGTTAAAAGGAACCCATCGTTCTCCTGGTCTTTCCTACTGAAGAAAGAAGAGCTCACCACAAACAAGCATTGATGCTAATGGTAAAAAAATAAATTTTCAACTTAAAAACAAAACTTTCCTATAAAATTAGTATCTCATTTTTATTCACAATTTTAGGTTACTTTGACATTTCAAAGAAGGCATGAGAAGAAGCTTAAATTTAAAAGAAGTGTGAGAGACACCACTGAAAAGAAAAGCATTATTCATACAGTCTCACTAACTGGACTTGAGCGACAGCAGTAATGACTTCCCTCACACAGTAATGACTTCCCTCACACACCAATACCCCCAAGGGTCACAGAACGACAAGCTGGAGTGTGGATGAAAACACAGTTCCCAATAAGAAAAGGACGGACAGGGAAGGCTGAAAAAAGGTCCTGGCAGGGCGTCTCCAACTAACAGCTCTGAAGGGTGTCAGGAAAAGTGCCCATGGAGACTGATACCCTGTGAATTGCCTCTACAGGTCACACTGAGTATCTCGAGCCATCCTTCGAGATAGACATGAGTTTTACTTGCCACTTCAGTAAAAGTACACGAATACTCTAGTACTGAAACTAGACACAGATTAGAGCTCAGGTTTGTGTTTGGCACTAAGAAACTTTAAGAATATAACAAAACAGAAAAGTGAGAAATAAGCAAACCAAAAAACTGCAAAAATCGAACTGAAACGTTCCTATCATCCTTGTTTACAACACCCACGGCACTAGATGAGAGAAACAATCTGCCTGCCAAGAAGCCTTGGCCCATAAATCTGTGCTCACCTCATCTCACGCAGGAAGGTCTTCTTGTAGGCGTCCTCGATGTCCTGGAGATAGGCGGAGGGGATCTTCATTTCATGTGGCTAAACATAAGCACAAAGACCAAACTGGGGGACATTTAAACAGCCTCTTGCTTTCTACGTGCGCACATGCACCATGCAAACACACTCAAAGGTGCACTGCTTTCTTCTGACGAGCTGAGCACTGTGGGGACTTCGGGATGAGATGTGGCCCTTGGCACCAGCTGGAATGGGCCAAAGGATGGTGAACGTGCCAGCTGGCCGGGAAGCCACAGCCCCGCTTCCCTCCAGGGCCTCCGGGCACCCCAGAGCAGGGCTGGAGAGATACCTCCTTTGAAAGGCACTGCTTCCTGTCTTTCACGTTTACGTGGCCAAGGGCAGGCAAAAAAAGACCACAGAATCCCTGACTTGGGGGGACCGGCCCCCTCATCTGCTCTCTTCTGCTCTTGGCTTCCTCCTCTTCGTGACAGGCCCTCCCCTCCTCTCTCCATCCTTTCCCTCTCCTCTACCTTGTCCCCTGTTCTAACTCACCCCTTTATCATCTACAGTGTGCTAAGCCAAATTCAGAAAACTTAAAACCCAATTATGAGAGGCAAGTTTTAGTTTAAATTTAAAACTTCGTACACCTTAGCGATGCCAGAGGCTAAGTGGCACTAACTTTTCGTCCTGGTTGATCTTCGTGGCCTGAGCCTCTAACTGATGCACAGCATTTCTTTATGTCCTGCTTGCTCCAGCTCTCCTGGGAAGCATCAGCTCCTGGAGTGAGGAACTCTCCCACCTTGCCCCACACTCGGCCCCAGCACCCTGGTGTCCAGGGCAGGGGTGCTCAGTAAGCACTGTGGGACTGGGCCAACCATTTTACTTACAAAATGATGAAAACATTCTAGAACTGCATTGTGGTGGTAGTTATCACAATGTGGTAAATTGCTCAGTCACTGAGTTGTTCCCTAAAACTGGGTGAGTTTAATGAGGTATGTTACAACTCGAAAAAGCTGTTCAGAACAGACAAAAATTCCCACCTCCCATCGGCAGAGTATTTCCTGAGAGTCTGCAATCCCAGCAATGAGACCAGACACAGGGACTGTAAGACTCAGCGATGACACTTTCACATGCCGTCCCCCAAGGGGACCATGCCTGAAGGAAAACCACCAGGATCGGGAGCTGCTGGATTTCCAGCAAGGACTAGGCTCGGGGGAGGTATCGGTGCATGTCTACGTGCCCAACTAGCAGTGTGTGGGAGGCGCGAAGTACTAGTGGGGCTCAGCACTGGTTATAAAGGGTGGGAGGGTCCGAGGAACAGCACTGCAGACTTTGGATGGCCAAAGGACCCCAGGGCACTCTCAACCATCACAGAAATCTGACCCACAAAGACTAGATAAAATCTTCAGCATCATAACTCTGTCCTTGCCTTCCAAGTTCAGAAGTGATTTTCAGGTATTCCCATCAGTTATTCCCAGAGGTTGCTCAGTGGCAGGATGGATCGGAAGAGAAGTGAAAGTGGGACTTACTAATAACACACTGTCTCCTTGGTCCAATGCCTCCCGTCTCCCACAGCCAATTTCTAGCTGCTGACAGTATTCATCTAAGACTACTTGGGAGAAAGAATGTTGGATAGCTCAGCTTTGAACCTCAGAATTGGTTTTCAAGTTTTGCTAACAAAATAGTTATCTAGAAAATTCAACATATATGCCTTTAGTTTTATCAGTAAATATCAGTGTTAAAAACAAAGGTGTGAAAAGTTATTCCACTGGCAAATAAATATTTTAAACTCGCAGTTTCCTCTTCCCACATGATGGAATGTTCCTGAGAGTCTGAATTACTCACCACTTTAGAGCAAACTCTTAAACATGAGGGAAGGGACTGGGGAGGCTTAAACAGAGACCACTGCACCTCTCATATGAGCTTGCCCGGAGAAGAGAGTTGGTCTCACTAGACCCCGAGGGGCAGTAAAGGACGGCGGAGCCTGCCATTTGGAAAAGTACTTCCTGGCACCCGCGGGCACCTGAGCACTGAGACGGCAGTGAATGGACCAGCAGGCAGCCTGCATCTGCACCACAAGGCCAAAAAGACCGTGTTTCCTCCAGGCCAGCTCTGTAGCATGGAACCTAGCCAGCCCCGAGGCCAGCAGTTATCCCCAGCAATCCCCACCGGCCCTGCCCTGCGCACTGTGGGCAGGCGCTAGGGCAGCACAGCCTGTGCTGATCTCTGCACTGGCCACCAGCCTCCAGTGTGGCATGTGCCACCCTAGCAAACCTGTCCCCTAAAGGTCAGGGTGGTAGGGTGTGAGAGACCAATGCTCTACTGTCCACTGTGGCGCCTGTAAGCAAGGAAGAGGTTTGTTCCCTGCAGCAAGTGAAGGACTCAGAAACTGCTTTCCATCTGCAGAAGACACGCCATGAGACGCCCAGAAGGGAACCACCCACCCACAGGGGATGGTCAGGAGCCTTCCCCTCTTTATGGGGCAGCTCAGGGGACCGGGGACGACAGTGGGACTGGCAGCGCTGGGAAAGCAGCTCCTCCCCAGAGACGGTGGCAGGCTGAGCCCTGGGCCTCCAGGCCAACCACTCACACTCTCTTCAGCTTCATGGAGACCACCGAGTCCTGCCTGACTTGTAAGTGTGGATCTATGTTAAAAATAACAAGGACATACAAAAGAACGCTGTGTCCTTTGACGTAAAAGCCAACTTACATCTCCCTTCTTCTGGATCTGCTCCTGGATCTCTGGCACAGACATGTCGATGTAGACCACCACATGGGGAGGTAGGTACTCGGGGATGGTAAGTTTCTTCACCTCGTTGTAGTGGTTCACGCCTGGAACAAGGGACACCAGTCATCTGACCCAGACAGGCTTCTCCCACGTGCTCCTCCCAAAAGAGAGGGCAAAGCTTCCTGCAGTTCTGACCAATGAACCAATCTGTGATCGTCATATAAGAGGGGGAGCAGAAGCCATTGGCAGCACACAGGGCACGGCCACAGAGCCCGTGCATGCAGCAGGGCTGGGGCTTACCGCAGCTCACACAGCCAGCGGTGCTGCCCACCACCGTGTCTGCACACACAAGCCCAGGAAAGTGCTCAGCTCAGAGAGGCTACAACACCAGGATTTGACCTTGAGCTGACAGGTCCCTAAAGCACAAGCCTTGAGGAGAAAGGCACCAAGTGAGGCAAATGCCCTTCACCAAACACGCAAGCGCAGCACATTCCCTGTTATGCCACTGCCTGGCCCATCCACAGCACCACTCACACTGCTTCCGGATGTAGCCCTGGTTGTACATCGCCTCCAGGAAGACAAAGTCACTGTAGATGGAGCGCTCCAAGACTACACCTTGTCCTGTTTAAACACAGGTAAACAAAATTAAAAACCACAGATAAAAAGCACCAGAACTAGTAACTTCATTTCAGAAATGGATAAAGCAGTCATCTACAGTTCCATTTCCATACCAATTATATTAAAAAGACCATATGTGTATTCATAAGGGGGAAATCACTGGCAGAAACAAATGCCTTTTCAGTTCTGGTTCCGTTCTGTTCCCGCAGTCGGCTGCCACAGCCTCCAGCTAACGAAAAGGCACCTCTGCTTTCAAAGAAGTCACTTCCCCTCACTGTGCCCATCCTGGTCCTGGCCCGTCCCGCCCCAAACACGCTGCTCAGACTCCAGAATGGCCTAGGGCTCCTGCTCCTGTACCTCGGGACCACCACAAACCACCCGTGCTCTCCCACGCACCACTTCCGCCCAGCCTCCCTTCACTGCCTCCACCCTTGCCAGCTCCTGGCTGGCTCCAAATCGGGCCCTGTGCTCCAGCTCTCGACAGCTGCACTCTCCTTTGGGAGACATCACGGTCCCTGTAGGGCTCCCAAGGCTCCAGTGTCTCTCCTAGCCTTCTCTGACCTCACTTCCAGCCACTCCCAGCCTGGCCACAGTGGTCTCCTGACAAGAGACACACTGCTCGGGGCACAAGGTCCTTACCATCAGCCCTGTTGGACCTGGGCAGAAGCCTCTTAAACCCTCACATCTTGAAAAGTGAACCCCAGTCCCGTCCCCTCCCTAGAGTACCCACCATTCACTCACTACCTGTTATGCTTGTTTCCATGTTCAGCTTTTATCTCCCTACTAAAATAAAAGCCACCTCCCAGGTTCCTGGAATGGGCCCAGCACATACTAGACACTCATCAATATTTAATAAATAAACTAATATAGCATAAAAGAAACCAAACCAGTTTCATGTAACAAGCAAAATGTGTCTATTTAGTATTTTAAAAGTGCAGTCAGAAAACTGAGTGAAGTATACTTCAAAAAGAAACCAGAGTGGCCTGAATGCCAGCATCGTACCCAAGCTGCTGCACAGTCCCCAAGTCAGGGACTGCCTGGTGCAGAACCCCAGCAGGTAGGACACAGAGCACACATCTCCTTAGGGGGACACTAAGCAAAGAAAAGAGAATCACTCAGAAAATGTGGGAAAGCCCAAGAGCTGCCGGCACGGCTGCTCAGGAAAGGGTCACCCTGTGTTCCACGGACGCACACTGCATGCAGGGGAACCCCACTGCCATGGGACCCCATGGGGCCAATTCTCCCTTGACAGCTGAGCTTCTGTGTGTGCACACTTCTCGGGGGCTCTGATGTCACCCGTGGCAACCATGCTACATCAAGTGGACACAAAGTCGTAATAATCACCCCTCTCCACCTTTCCCACACACAGACAGGCCATTGGCTTCCATCTGTGAAATCAGAAGCAGTGTGGCATGGTAGCTTTGGCTGAGCACTGATTCTCAGGGTGTCCTGGGGTCAGCCCCAGTGGAACACACACTGCTGTTTCCCATGGGACTGACACAGTCCCTGCTGGATTCTGACCTGGTGTGCACATGTACAACCTATGTCCCTGCCCTCTGTCCACCTCTCTTCACTCCAGATTTCATTTCCTTGCTGCCCTTCTCCCAGGCTGAGAGTGGGCTACCTCAAAACACAGTTCTTGTCGATGGCTTCCCACAGGGGCCCACAAGACCTGCACATTCTGCCTCTCCCCACTTCCACTACCTTTGCAAGTCCTAACTACTGCCTGCAGCTTTATGGTGAATTCCAGTGGAGCTCTCAGCCCTCCAGAACAATCCCAGTCTATTGTCGATGTATGTCTCAGGACCCACACTTCCTCTTCAACAGTCCCTTACACGTCCTCTCCCACATCTTCCCTCCCAGTCCCTTACATGTCCTCTCTTTCCTCCGTTACTTTGACACATTTCATTTATATGCTTAACAAGTGGCATAGAAATATCACACAATCCATATCTCTCACTCCGATACACACAATGAAACAGTATTTCATTAATTACAGGATGAAGCAACAATAACATGGCTTCCGAGGAATGTATGATCTTACTGGAGAGCACATGCCTCACTGGGAACCCTCACAGAACAGCTCTACTTACAGCAATTTGAAACAGCTGAATTCTACACAAGCTTGCGCTCAAACACTCGACAGCCAGCTGAGCCCCAGTACTCACCTGTGCTCAGCAGGTGCTCCAGGGCATCTGAGTACTGCAGGAGGCGACTGGCGTACAGCCAGGACTGCAGGCGGTAGCTATTGCCATCATTGCTTTGTGGATTATCGTAGAACTTCTCCAAGCTACAGCTGCCAGTGAACTCTTCATCCAGGGGTTTTCCGTCTCCCGTGACGCTGGCTGCATAATGGATCCCTGCTTCGGGAAAGTGCTTCAGGCCTGGGAAGAAGAACGTCTGGATGAAGCAGGAGCAGCCCGTGCCCCCTCACCGAGGGCAGCCTTCCTGAATGGGGAAGCCCCTCACACCGTGCTTCACTGGAGACAGCCCGCCTGAGGGCGGAAGGAACTTGAGGGCCCTTGTGCAAACTCACCCCAAACCCACAGGATCTCGTAACCATGGGAGCCCCACTGTGCAAGCACCAGCCGCCACCAGATGCCACAGAAAGGCAGTGAACAAACACCCATGGGAGGACCTGGGAGGGACTCGTCCCTCCAGTCTGCCCAGGTGCCCGAAAGACTGACAGCACATCTCAGTCTGTGTCGGGGCCTCTCACGAAGCTCACCAACAACTGCCCCCATGGAAGTGCCCCGCCTGCAAATTTGCAGCCCAGGTCAAATCCAAGGCAAACTGACATCTGGCATGGGTTCCCCACCCCCCAAATCTGAAAAACGAAAAAAAACTTTTCCAATAAACATTTCAGAAATGTAAACTACCTGCCTTAGGCCCAATCCTACCTAGTAGATACTTAAGTAAAATCAAAGTGAGATAAACAAACATGTATCTGAGAAAAAGGTGCCATTCTGCATGACATGAATTCATACCTAGACTCTCCGCTATTGTTTTTGCGACCCTGCCCTTCCCAGAACATATGTTGCCATCCACGGTTATCACTTTGCTGTCTTTAGTCAGTTTTTTGGATGCCTTGTCACCAAGAAAGTTCGCCAAAAGCCCATACCACAGCTTGCACTGTACACTGGCATGAATTCGTCCCTGAAAGACAACATCACACAACACAACGTGACCATTCTGGTTACTGTAGGCATTAGGAAACATGAGGTAAAAATATCAGCATCAACATCTTCACTGCCCGTTCACTGTCTGATGCTCTGACTGGCTTCCTCCCCCATACAAGTCCCCTAATGCTGACCTGCTGTTTCTCTGTTCACTGCTGAGTCCTCATGGCCTGGGGTGAGTATGCTTGCTAGGCTCCATGAAGACTGGAGGGATAAGTGGATGGACAGAGGGACGATGCATGGATAGACGGACGGATGGGTGGGTGGGTGGAAAAATGGAGAGAGAAGGGGCTGGAGAGACAGGGGAGGGAAAGATTTCCAGTCTCGGTTCCTGCCCTGAGCCTCTGAACTACTTACCCTACAGCCTGTTAAACGGTTTCAGATAGATGTCCTGAAGTGACCCGAAAGGTAACAGACCTAAAACCAAACTATAACATTCATACCCTGAGCCCCAACTCTGCTTTCCCTCACAACAGGGAACAACTATACAACAAGCATAGAGACCAAATGTGAGCACTATTTTTGCCATCTCCTTCCTTTCCCCAACTGCATACCCCTCACCAGACCCTAACCCCCCACCTCTCCAGATGAAGCAGCACTCTGCTCCCCTGCTGCACTTGCTCTGTGACTGCCCTCATGTTTCTCATCCTCAAGGGAAGCATCTTCTCGTCTCCTGTCCCCAGTACCCTCACTGATTCTCCGCTCCAAAGCCAAAATAATCTCCCAAGAAAATCACCCAGGGTGAAGGAAACATAACTAACAGGCAAACAACTGGAAAAGGCCACCATATGTGACAAAATAATAACATTAGTATCAAGGGGGTGCACAGACCAACAAGAGACAAGGGAAAGTGGTGGGCAGAAGAAAGGACACCAATGTAAAAAGGACTGAGATGCGTGATGCACATGGACCAGCTCCCGGGACGCACACAATTGTTATGCACTGCAGACATACACTAGTAAAAACAAAAATTAAAAGCTGATGACAGGCACACACAGCTCACTTAAAAAGTATTAAAGATGCCAATAACTACATAAAAATGTTTAACATGGCTTTAAAAAGCCAACAAAAACTATTAACAAGAACAAATACTCATCAAAGTGGGAAACACTAGATTTTCTTAAAAAAAGATGCCATGCAGTGCCACGAAAAGACCACAGATATGCTCATAAGCTGGCGATGACGACTAAACCTGGGAGGCACAGGTCCTGGACCAAGAGCCCATCGCAAGGGAATCTGTGTAAATAACCGCCTGCAGGTGCTCAACGACGTGTGGTTCAGAATATCAAGCATGTAAATAAAATCCTTCAATGTCCAACAACAGAGGACTAGCTTAAAAAATCAACTCCTTATTATGGAATACTAAGCACTCATGGAAAAAGCAATACATAAGAATGTAAAATAATAAAATTCTTTTCATTCTTGGTTTATCTGACTACTGAAGGGTGACAAATGAGCAGGTTGCAAAGAAGAACGAAGAGCAAACAACCTTATTTAAAAGTGGGCTGAGGGCTGGTGATTAGCTCAGTGGCACTGTGCCTGCCTCACAAGCGCAAGGTCCTGAGTTCCATCCCCAGGACCAAAATGAGATAAAATAAAAGAAAAGTGGGCTGAAGATCTCAAAAGAGCTCACAAAAGAAGATGTGCAGATGGCAAATAAAAACAGGAAAAGATGTTCATTTGGAAATCACAGAGAAAACAACAAAGGGTTACCTCTGTACACTTGCTAGAATAGCTAAAGATCTGAATAACCAGCACCAGCAAATGCTGGCAGGAACACAGAGCAGCGGGGTGCCCTCAAACTGCTGAGGGGAAAGCAAATGGGAGTCACTGTGGAAGGCATGGGGGGGGGGGTTCTTATAGAACTACAGTCTCATATAAACCAGCAATCATACTCAACAGTATAAAACACACTTCCACAACGAATCAGAGAACTACAGTCTCATATAATCCAGCAATCATACCCAACAGTATAAAACACACTTCCACAACGAATCATAGAACTACAGTCTCATATAATCCAACAATCATACCCAACAGTATAAAACACACTTCCACAACGAATCATAGAACTACAGTCTCATATAATCCAGTAATCATACCCAACAGTATAAAACACACTTCCACAACGAATCACATGCACACCACTACAGCAGCTCATTACTCAGCACTGCCCCAAGCAGGAAGCAGCCAGCCTGCCCTCAGCAGCTGGTTAAATGATGGTGTATCACACAATGCAGTGTTACTCAGACAAGAAGAAATGACAATCAAGTACAAAGAGAGGAGTGAATCTTAAAAGGATATTTCTAAGTGAAAGAAGGAGTCTGAAGGGCAACGTATCATATGAATCCAAATATGTGACTTTCTAGAAAAGGCAAAATGACAGAAATGGTAGAGATTGTTGGCTGTCTGGGGTTTGTGGAATAAAGAAAAGGGCTAAAACACTGCATTTTTTAGGGCAGTGGAACTAGTCCGGTATGGTTCTGTAAAGGTGGAGCCATACTATTATACCTGTCAAAATTCACCAGACTTTGCAGCACGAAGAATGAATTCAGTATGTGCAAATGTGTAAAAGCCTATTGAGATCAAAAGATCCCAGGATGGAATGCAGACTGTCACAGAACAATCCAACTATGTTACAAACATATAAAATAACGTCACTGAAGGAGACAGAGGAAAGTGCTTCTTTATCGAAATACATTAGTCTTCGCTCAAGTTTCCTATCCTTGATCCCATTCTTACGCTGTCCAGAATCACAGAGAATAAATGATGTTCTGTGGCACATTTCCAATTCTTAAGTCACGAGGTCTACACCTGTTTCATCTCGTTAGTTTTTCTCTGAGCCTAATGTGCTGCTACAGGCAGTCTGCAGTGCCTATCTAGTTAGAGCTCTTCTGGGACTTTTACTTAGGGCCCGGGTCAGCAGGTATTAAAGAGAAAAAACACATTCTCTCTTTTGCAATTCGGATTATCTCCTAAAAACACTTAAGCGACTTTTACATAAGACACGCTTACGTTCAAAATCAAAATCTTCAGCTTGGAGGCCAAGCCCCTTTATAATCCCTATACCATGTAGTTATAGCCACTCACTAGCCACTGTCATAAAACGGTTTCTTCAGTGTTTCCACCCACGGTTCCTGTGCGGCTCTCCGCATCTAAAGTCATCTCCCTGCATTGTCTCTCCCAAGTCTAACCCAAGGTCTCTTCCGTTACTGCTTAACATGACATCACTGGCACCTGGCAGGGCCTGAACCTTCTTAAAGACGCTTAAGAACGCAGCTGAATGAGCTACTGAATGAAGGCGTACTCGGAACACCAGCACGTTCTGGGCTCCTACTAAGCCAACAACTGCCCTAAGCTCAGGGCCTACACACTACTCTAGTTTCCCAACTTGCAGCTAGGCGAGCCACTAACTCGGTGCTGCAGCTGTCCCGAAGACTGAGGGGCAGACAATCCCGGAGCGGGAGGGTCCATTTCTCAGGGAGCCGGAGCCGCAGCCCAGAAACCCGACCGCAGGAGGGGCAGAGCCAGCTCCCGCCTGCGGCCCCCGCCGCGCGCCTTCCCTCACCACGCGCCGGGCGCCCGACACAAGCCCGCTCGCAGACGCGCAGGCCGGCGCCAGAGTGAGGAGTCTCAAGGACATGGCTGCTCCGCTGCCGGATCAGGCTCAAGGACCCGAGGAGACGCCCGCGCCACGGGGTCCTCTCCTGCGACCGGCGCGCCCCGTGACGTCACATCCGGGGTGCCCGCGGCGCCTGCCCGGAACCTTCAGTGATGGGCGGGACG